TGACAAGTCAATGTGGCTTTGATAATTATCCTTAATGTTCCCCAATACAAAAATACACTGTCCTAAGCCTGTTTTCTCCAAACAGGTTTTTTGACCCTCCTTTTTTTTTTCATGCAACAGTCAATATTCTTTCTTCCATCACTAAGTGTTATCCAGGTTGATTTTCAGGCTCCTTTGGTAGCTAAGTCAAATAAAGGGAACATTCTGCTGAAGCAGAACTCTCAACATTACCTAAAATAAGAGTAGAGTGATTTTTTGAGATGCTTTCTAAAAACAAAACTGGACAGAAACTGGAGGAACTGTAGCAGACTTCTACACTGGTTGTAGTTTATTTTAGAGGGGGAGAAAGTTTTAAATCCTCAAGCAACACCTCTGAGTACACTATGTGTAACAGTTCTTGGCTGTATAAATCAGCATAACCCAATCCCTTTGCTGAGGGAGTGTTGGTTTGGTTATAATGCAGCATGTGGAATGTCACTAAGGTAACAGAATCTTCTTGGCAAGAGGCAAGCTGTCCATGCTTCCCACATGTTACTTTAATGCCCAGTTTTTGTTTGGTGCATGTTTCTGTGAACAGGTATGAAACATTCTTGTTAGCCATAGAGCTTACTGTGGAGCCTGAGAGTCTTCCTAGCAGAAACAACTGCTTGACTTGATCATGTGAAAAGCATTTTGTGTGGGTTTTTTATCATTTTCATGTGTTCTGTTGACATAGTTTATGTATTATGGAAACTGAGCAAATCTGGAGACTTTTGTATGGAGGACAAAGTATGGGAATAAAGGAAGAGTTTTTATAAGGACAAAACTGTCTGAATTTGTTTGAAATGAGGGAGGAGTCAGAAATGAGCTCCAGGAAAAGCATCTTTGATGTCTGTATGTACTTTTATTCTAAGAAATTCCCCCCTCATTATTCTCTTGGCAGAGAGAAAACTGAGGAGAAAAGACCAGCTCAGAAGACTAGGGAGATTTAGTTGCTGAGGACTTAGGGTGAGAGAAAATTGCACAAATTAATTCTGATCTCTTGTCAGGCTGCAAAATCTAAAAGTGATAAAACGCCTGAAGTGTTCTAGGGTAGATAATTTCTTGCAGGAAGTGGCTTATCAAAATGGCAAAGCAACACAGTGCAAAAAACCAGCCTGATAAATGTATCTGGCTCTTTCATGTGACCTTGTGCGACAGTGCTGACATCTTTTTTATGAGCTCTTTTCTGCAGCTTTGGAAGCTTCTTGTACAACTACATGTGAGAGCAGTGTTTTCCCTTTCCACCTCATCCTCACTGTCCTCCAGAGCAGTCCCAAACACTCCAGCAACACAACAGGGGGTTTGGGCACATCCACTAGCCAAATGGGCTTTGAAGACTGAGGTGAGAAGTACCTTCTTATGGCTGCAGCATGTTCTTTCTTCCCAGAAGAAACCTGCAGCACAGGGCTAGTTTTGAGGAGAGCTAAGATGAGTCAGTTCTTAAAAAAACCCAACAACTATGTGATAAAGTTCCTAAGCTGCTTTTGTGCATTAGGTCATATGTAGAAAAGAGGTTCTCATCCAAGCCTGGCACATTGTGCTGGTTCTCATCAAAGATTGGCACATGAAATCAGCATGTTTTTAGAAACTAATAGAAGAATAAACTACAGAGCATCCTGTTAAGAAAACAGTGGACCAGGCAAGAGAAAATAAGGGGAGTTAATAGGTATCCTGCACAAACTGGAAAGTTTTGTTCCAAGGATAAGTCAATCCTCATCTTTTTGACTAAAACAGAAATCAAGCTTGCAGATCTACTTTGCTGCTGAAGAAATGTATGTCATAAGGAACACATTGCAGCTGCATCCTGCCCAAGTTTGAAGAGCTGCTGCTGAAGTTATGCTCTTCACAAGACCTGCTCCCCTGCGGTAGGAAGTGAAGCACAGGCTCAGGAGCACTTACAAACAAGTGGCAGACACATTCCCAAGATGGGAAGGGCCTGTCAGGTGATGGCTGAGCAGCTGAAGAAACTAACACTGAGACTGCCCAAGTGATGCCCAAGCAGTGTGACAACACTTTGTCTTGTGACACAAACACAATACAAAGAAATCCAGGGTAGGTGGCACAGAGATGGGTATTAATCAACCTTGTCTTCCAGCTACTCACTTTCTTGGCAGAAAATTAAAGCTCTGAATGGTTACTAAGTTGGCAGAGGTTAGCAATCTTCTGAGCACTTTGTGACTGTCTCTATTATTGCAGCTTCTGCTTTAGGAAGTTCGAGATTGGGTTTGAAGTAACTCATTTTCAGTTAAAAGAGAGCGAGTCAAAAAGAATTTCCCACCCCTATGTAGAAGTTGTAGCAAGTCATCTTTGCTGCCCAGTGAGTAAAAAGAATTAAGTAGCACTAGCTAATCTTATACTGGATTGATGTCATTGCTATAGGAACAGGTTTGTGCCATTATCTGTCATTTACGATCAAGAACTAATTGAGAAACACTGTAGTTTTTAAAGAGGTTGTAAAACTTCTTGGAGCTTGATTATCCCAAAAGCTTGTAGATAGGTCAATTTGTGTCAGAGACAGTCATCTACTGTGACTCAACTGTTAAGTAGCTTTGACACAACCTACAAATCTTCAGAATAATCAAGCTTCAAGTTATTTCACTACTTTCTTTTTAAGAGACTACAGTAAAAAACAGTTTATCATTAATTTTTATAGTCTTTACTTTGTGGGTGAGTTTCACCTGTTGATGTTCCACTGGTGCCAAAAACACTGGAAGCACCAGTGGAGCTAACTGCTCTTCTCCTACTCTTATTGGCCAGTATTCCTATACACTGTGTTGATAGTTTAGACTAACTCTCTCCACAGCTGCTTTCCACTTCAAGCTCAAATCCTTACAGACATAGCATTTGCTTGAATTAGACTGTGTGTCTGTAGTTAGTTGTAAAGCTCATGCTTATCCACAGCTGTAATCCAAGCCCAGGCTTCTGGTGGAAAAGTTTACAAACACAAACCTCTGTTCTGTAAGTCACTGCTGTGCCCAGCACGTGCTCCACCATCCAGACAGCTTGGCTCATCCCACCAGGCATGCTGAGGAACTTGCTAAGGGTCACATGCTTCCACAACAGAAATTATGCACTTCTTCCTAGCATTTTCTATTTTTGATGCTTCCTCTTACGTTGTTGCTCTTTAAACCATTCCATCTGGACACAACATAACTGCTCAGTTTAAAACTACAGCATGAAGTCAAAACCTAGTCCAGCCAGAGGTATCTCTGTGTGACCCAAAGGTAAGGAAACAACAAAGGGACTCAGTCTCATCCAGCCAGTCCCAAAACTTCAGGCTCCAAACAAGTAATTAGGGCACAGACCACAAAAGCACAACTAAAAGGATCAACCAAACATACACACTGAGGCAAGGACAGAAGAGCAAGCCAGAACAGCTGACAGCCAGCACTGCTATCTGGCAACAAACACACAAAAAACCCAAACCAAAACCGAGAAAGAAAAGCCATTGATATGTATCTGTAATAACAGACTTCTGTTTATAAACATTGAAAAGTTTTTATTTCATAGATAAATAGCATGGTGATTTTAAAAGTTGGGAAACAACACAACTTAGAAGCTCTGACTCCTGAAGACACTAGCTGCTCGTCAGAGTTTATAATTTACCCTTACTCCAGCATACTGAGGTGGCAGCTTCCCTCTCTTCATATTGCACTTAGGACTCCAAACCTTCTTGCAAAGGCTACATTGTTTTCCAGACCTAGCACCGATGCTGACAATTGAAACCAGCGTCTCAAAGTACCTCCAAATGCAAGTAGAAAGTTTAAGGTGGTGTAACTGCCATGCTTAAACACAGCAACACTGAAAATAGTGTTCTCTTTCCAAAGCAAGAGAAAGCTGATATTCTCCAGGATTCCCTTAAAGCAGTCAGACATGGATTAGCATTTGTGATGATCAGGTGTGGACAATCACATACAGTTGAAATTGTAATGGAATGTAATTGTTTTGGGCTTCTGAAGAGTGGCCCTGCTCCAGCAGGGAGGTTGGACCAGATGACCCAACTGTGGTCCCTTCCAACCTAATTGATACTGTGATTCTGATTCAGGACTGTTTTCATATTTGTAAGGTTACTCCCATCATGGCTGGATCAGAAATTTAGTTATCCTAAGAAGAACCAAAAAAAAAAAAAAACCAGACAAGAAAGAACAAACAGATTTGGTCTTATTCAAAATACACAATACAGCAGTCAGACTTAAATGCTATTCCAAAATAGCACTGAAAAATAGAGGCTGAAACTATGGCAAGAAATCTCAGTGGAATTTCAGTATGACTGAAGAAATTTGCATTCATTACAAGAATGAGAAGAAGCTTATCTTACTTCTTTGAATTTCTGGAAGAAACATGATTATCTGTCTTCAAACCTGTTTGTAGCATCCCCCCAACCTAATACCAGTTACCTTTCTCAAATTCCAAGTTTTTTCTAATCCATCAGTGCTCCCAGAATATGGTTTTGCATCACGCCTGGAGTGAAATTTGAATGGTCATACATTTCAATCATTTGTAATTTTTAATCAAACCAGATGACAGGAGAAGGAAACACAAAGGAAATTTTGTGCAGGCTGCAGGTCAATGCCAACATAAGCTGCCTCTGATGTCAGAGGAGAACAGTTTAAAGCACCAAGCCCTAGGCCTATGCCACTCCTCACTGCCTACCTACTTCAGTGTGGTACTGTTGTGGTCACTGAAAAAAAGTAGATTATCACAGCAAAAAAAGTACTTTTTCCCTTTAAAGGTTTGCACAAACTTTATTCTTTGCTTCCTGTATTTCTAGCTAAACTTATTTTTTAAAAAATCATTAAAAAACAGCACTGATGTAGATATTAATTAAAAAAAAAAAAAGGATGAAGCAAAGAATTGTGTTAAGTGCAGCTTTTATAACCAGGTTCTGATTTTTTTCCTTTTATATTTACCACAAAAGAAGTATCTTTTCATTGATTTTTACCCCAAGGGAAAACAGGAAACCACGTTTTTTTGCACAGAGGAGTAAAGTTGTGGACCAGAAACTCTGTCTCCCCACAGGACATTTCAGATGGAGTGTTGCAATTTTGCATCATTAAGGCAAAATGAGGAATACTTCCATCACGTGTCACACAGGGCTCTCCCACTCTGGCCATTCTGATAGACTCATAATTAAAAACCTTTGTAGTTACTTTTTAAATAGAAAACAGTCAATCTCTTCATTGCTTATCAGTTTGAAAGGCTCTTTCCGACCTTCACTCAGAACTTCAGTCTTGTGATTAGATCAAGCATACGAAATTGCTTCAAAACAGCAACAGAAACTAGAACTTGAGCTAAGTGTCAATCAGTTGTAATCTACTGATCTGATTAGAGGCCTTCACAAATGTTTGATGACGATTGCAAATAACAGCCAAGCAGATAGGAATGATGCAATACCCGACAGTTTTGGGGTCAGCTCTCGTACAGGAATAGAGGAACAAGAACATCTGTAAATATGGTATTAAAAATATTATAGTCCACAGCCAAAAAGGCAAGGAGAGCAGTCGTACTTTTAGGGAGTGCGTCCATGTGGTTCCTTCCTGTGGCTCCTTGGGGTGTTGCTGAATGTGCTCCAGTGCTAGTTTGTTGTAAGTCTCGTTGATTTCAAAGACGTAATAGAAAGCTGCAGCGCTCGCTAGCAAGTACAGCCCCACACCAATCCAGCCCATCCTCTGGCGGAAGTTCATCATTCTCCATGCTCTGCACCTGGAACAAAAGGTGACAGATACATTCAGCACAGCCTGGAGGAGGAGAAGACACAAACAAACCTCGGTTTTCACAGAATCAGTTAGGTTGGAAGGGATCACAGTGATTCATCTGGTCCAACCTCCCTGCTCCAGCAGGGCCACCCCAGAGCACATGGCTCAGGATTGTGTCCAGATGGTTCTTGAATAGCATCAGTGAGGGAGAATCCTCAACCTCTCTGGGCAATCAGTTCAGTGCTCAGTGACTGCACAGTAAAAAAGTTCTTCCTCATATCCAGGTGGAACTTCCTGTGCATCAGTTTTTGCCCATTACCTCTTGTTTTATTGGTTTGCACAAGTTAACTTTCAAGTTACTATTCCAAAAGTCAAGTACAGTAAATTAACTTACAGCTTTTCATTAGACATTAGTTGAACCAGCATACACATCAGTTTCTGAAGACCTGAGTTCTCTCTCCATCACAGAAAATCACACTGCTCTGCCAGCAACAGGTTAATGGTAACTACATGCAAAGCTCCATGGATGGCTCTGGCTAGTTTAGGGCCTGCTGGCTATCGAGATACACCCAGATCAAGTACTGAGTGAAAAAAGCAAAATACATCAATTGGGTCAGTGACTTACCCCATCTGCTCTCAGTGTCTCTAGACACAGGGTGGGGATAACACAAGACATCCTATAAATATGTAAAGTTTGGAAAGTTCTCTGACATCTGCAGGACTATCTGACCTCTGGCTAGTTTAGGGCCTGCTGGCTATCGAGATACACCCAGATCAAGTACTGAGTGAAAAAAGCAAAATACATCAATTGGGTCAGTGACTTACCCCATCTGCTCTCAGTGTCTCTAGACACAGGGTGGGGATAACACAAGACATCCTATAAATATGTAAAGTTTGGAAAGTTCTCTGACATCTGCAGGACTATCTGACGGGGCTGTAGAGAGGTGGGGGATGTCTGCCATGGCTGACAGGACTAGAGGGAATGGCCTTGAGCTGAGACAGGGAAAGTCAGATTAGATGTTAGGAAATTTTTTTTCCCTGTCAGGGTGTTCAGCCACTGGAATAGATTGCCCAGGGAGGTGGTGGAGTCACCATCCCTGGAAGTGTTTAAGACGTGTCTGGATCTGACGCTGGAGGATATGGTTTAGGGGTTCCAGCAGAGGCAGGTTAATGGTTGGACTCAGTGATCTTAGAGATCTCCTCCAGCCTTGACGATTCTATGATTCTAAGATAAACATGCTGCCAGACAGACAGAAACAGGAGCATCACTGCTTGTCTGCCATGTAGCAACATCCACTTTTGTTAAGCTCTGAGCTCCAATCCATGAACCATATAAAAGGCTGTTATCAATTTGAACGTTAGAAGATGTACTAAAGCTGTGTATTTGCAGCATATCACTTGAACTAAACTGTATTCCTGCTATCCCTGTGTGGATAGCTACAGCAGTAATTGTTGGAGGAAGGGAGCTGCACATTGGTGCTGACCAATGCCTCAGTGCAGAACAAAACACATACCAGTCACTGGTGCTGCTCAGAAGCACAAATTACTGGAGTGCCACAGACACTACTGGGCTTGGGTTTAGCTACTTCAAATCTAGAGCTGGTTCCATGGGTCTAGGTGATTGGAAACACTCATCAAACCCATCAGGAACACTCCAGCTGCAGCAACTCCCTGCAAACCAAGAAGAGATCACCTCCTTCCCTCAAAACAGCCCTTGCACAGGGCAGGGAGAGCAGCTGCTTAGGGTTCTCCTAATAAATATGCTTGTTCACACTGTTGTGCTTTAACCTTTCCTACCTTTTTTGAGAGAAGGGTAAAATCCATCTCTGTAGTGCTGTTTTAAGAAAACATATCAGGCCTTTAAAATACTAGGCAGAAATGCCTATTTAAGAATGAATGATGCATACAGAACAATAACTGTTCATGAAGTATGAGAGAGTTTACCATAAGGGACACCTGTCTAAATCCCCCTTTCTGAGCCAGACTGGTCTGTCTGGTTTGTAACCTTGAAGGACTTCCTGGATTTACACAACTGAAGGATATCCTCAATCCTGAACTGACAGGATCTGATCAGGGTAGCCCTGGGGAAGTTGTTCTGGCCCTTACATTGCTGCATTTCTGCTGGCTAAAGGAGTCAAACATACAGTGACAGTAATGCCATTACTCATGTCTGTGATAACCACTTCTTGTTTCACACAACCTTCCACACAAGTTAATCGCATGCTTCCCTTTAACACACTAAGCCAATACTTTTAGTAGGACAACTGGAAAACCAGTGTTAACCCACTGGGTACAAACTTGCACCCCAGAGTCCATGTTTACCCAGGAGCTAAGTCACAGGCTGCTTTTCTCCAGCAGTTCAGCATTTCCAAGCTGGCTCACAAGTCGTCACCTTCAAATAAAATAAACCTTCAGAGGAAATGTACACACTGAAAGCAGAAACAATATTAAAAGAGCAGTACATTTAAGCAGGTAGATTTAAGGTATGTTTTTCTCTTGCTCTTGCTGGGCAGCAGTGGCCAGAATCATAGAATCATATGGTCCAGAGAAGACAACGAGGCTGGTG